TCATCTAGTGTTTATATATATCTATGGGCGAGCCTCCAGAGCAAGTCGGATAAAATGACTAACCATCATGCAACGCACTAGCAAGATGTTGATCGCAATTGCGCAGGTCTGCGCAGGTCTCGCTTGTCTCAAACAAGCCTACTGGGTGTTTCTCAATCGCGAGTAAAGCTGCTTCAGAGCCACTATTTCAAGCATACTACGTCATCGTGGGCCGCCGAAGTACTGTTCCAATCTCCAGCATACTTGGAAATCTACCGAGCCCGGCGTACTCCGTTTGGAGAAATATCGAGGCTGCACATGAGTAGACTCCGCGGTCTTAAAATCCCCACAATGCTTTGCGCACGGACCAATTTCCCCAAATCTGTGGCGGAAGATGTAAGGCGGGGCCTCTCATATGACGCACACCTGCACACTTGCTAGCGTGTTCCACTCTTCGTTTTCCGAATGCTAGGAAGTATTCTTGACTCGCTTCTGAAGCAAGATGCTCGGCAGACATGTGCTACCAAGCAAGCGTACTCGCGATTGAGAAACACCCTGTCTGTGTGTCTGTCTTCCTGGCTGGGCGTGGCTGACCCACTTCTGTTTCCCGCCAACTCACCTCCTCAGCTGTTGCTCATCATCCGGATTACAACTACTCACCTTCACCTGCATATATACCCGGTTCCTCCATCCAGTTGTTGAAGTTTCCTGTCGGCTCCTAGACCGTGGTCGAGGAAACAGAGGGGATGACTCTCTGTCGTCTCCCAGGGCAGAAGCAACACGCTTCGGGTTCAATAACCCACTTTATCAAATCACTGGAGAGAGGCGAGCTGGTCTTGGGAGGTCGTTGTATTTATTTAGTTTTTCCGTTTCACAAGATACAACATCACATACCTATGCTTTTTCCCTGCTGCCTCGTTTCATTTCCAGAAAACATAACACCGCTCGCTCACTCTCGCTCTACCATACCCACCCACACATGCACGTGCCACACCCCTCTCTTAAAGGGGTAGCGATCTCACTCTGCATGACCCTAATGTCATAACACCCCACTCTGGATGGCAATTGCACACAATTCTAATCCAGCACAGTAAATTACATGGTACATTAAAGGGTACAACATTTCAGTGCAGATATATAGCAATCTTTGTGTGCACATATCACTGTGGAGCATAAGGAAACCCTGAAAAAGGCATTAATAGCTGAGCTCTAAAATAGCAGTCAGAAGACATTCAACACTTAAATTCTCCATTAAAATGACAACTTTAAATGGAAATCAAAGACGGAAATATAACTTTAGTCCCATATGGTTATCAACCTGCTCTCCTCAAGTCTTTTTTTCTTTTTATGTATGAACATATGAAACAATAACACTTAGCTTGGACATTAGTAAACAACATAACGGTGTCCATGAACAGTCCTTTAACTGTGGGGCTTATGTCCTCACCCACTCACCATACCAGACAGGTGGTCCTCTGTTGCGGCCCGTCCGTGGCCCTGGAACATGATGGCTCCGACGGTGCTGCTCTGCCACACTACCCCCACTAACCTGAATGTCCTCAGGGGCAGAAGAGTCCGGAGGAGTGGAGTGGACTGAAAGGGCAGCAGCGACAGTCTCCACCTCTGGATCTGATGGGGTGCAGCTGGAGCCTTCCTCAGCTGCGGCGTCAGTGTCGGTGAACAGTTGAGATAGACCCAGGGTAGGATCTGCAGGATCCATGTCCAAGGCAGGGGCCGACACCTCCGTAGGTGTCCATCTCCGGGCGTGCTCCACAGCCCAGGCGTTGTCCAGTGGATCACGGCAGCGGTAGGGTTTCAGCTGATCATGGTGAACCACTTTCACTTTAGTCTTCATGCCTTTCTGGATGCGATACACCAGATCATCCAAGTGTCCCAGAATGAAGTATGGTCCTTCGTACGACGGGAGAAACTTCCTGACTTTGTTTTGGACTCTCCGTGTTCCTTTAATCAGGTACCACACAGCATCACCAATATGGTACTGTGTGCAACAGCAGTTTTTGTCGTATTGTCTCTTAGTACGTTTTACAGACTCACCAAGGGCCTCTCTGGTGATTTGATGAGCCAGCTCCAGGCATTGTCGGGTCTGCTGGACATATTCAGGGGCTGAAGGGAGTGTGTCAGAGTCTGGGGGTAGACCAGCTACTAGGTCCACCGGCTCGCTCACTTCCCGGCCAAACATCATGAAGTTGGGGGTGAAACCAGTTGCACTGTGCTTGGTTGCTCTGTAAGCCATAACAGCATAGGGGATCATGAGGTCCCAGTCCCAGTGGCAGCGCTCAGCTGTTGTGGCCAGTATCTTTTGTAGTGTGGCATTAAATCTTTCGACTTGGCCATCAGATTGAGGTCTGAAAGGTGTTGTGCGTGTTTTCTCAATGCCAAACAGCTTACACATTTCCTGAAACACTTCGGATTCAAAGTTTCGGCCTTGATCACTGTGCAGCATCTGTGGTGCTCCATAACGACACACCCACTCTGAAGCCAGCACTTCAGCCACAGTTACAGCCTGCTGGTTGGGAAGGGGGTAAGCTTCCACCCACTTTGTAAAATAGTCCTGTATCACAAGCACATAACAGTTTTTGCGATCTGTCTTGTTCAGGGGCCCCATGATGTCCAAGGCGATGCGCTCCATGGGGGCTCCTACCCTGACAGTGCCCATTGGAGCTTGTGGTGTCTTACGGGGCCTGGCTTTGGATGCGCAGCTGGTACAGGTGCTACACCAGAGGGCAACGTCTTCTCTCATTATGTACCAGAAGTATCGGGTCTGCAACCGGGCCCTTGTGCGCATTACACCAAAATGTCCACCTATTTGGCCGTCATGCATTTGTTTTATGACATCAGGGTGGAAGACTCGAGGCAGCACCACTTGTGGATAAAACTGTGTGTCATCTAGGCAGTAGAACCGCCTAACCAGAATTCCGTCTTTGAAGTAGAGCCGCTTCCACTGGCTCCAATATGTTTTTGTAGCTGGGCTGCCCGGGGAGACTGTTACCCATTGTGGCCGTTCGTCGCTGGCCTCCATCCATGCTTTGATGGGGCCTATGTCTGGATCAGCCTCCTGAGCCTGCCGCAGCTCCTCTGGGCTCCAGCCGCAGAACAGCCCAGTAGTATTGTTGGTCGTTGTCCGGTAGATTATTCCAGAATTGACATTGTCAATCTCAGCAGGTGAAGCTTCTCCTACCCCCACTGGACTCACTGCTGTGGAAGCTGAGGGTCTCTGTACCCCCACTGGACTCACCATCGCCTGGTTGATGTCAGAGTCCAACTGGCACTGCACCGCCTGATCACTAAAGCACTTTGAATTGCCTTGTGTTGAAAGGTGCTATATAAATAAACTTGCCTTGCCTTGCCTAAAGCTCACCGGCTGAGGGGAGGGGCATGGCAGCTTACATGGACAAGACTCGCGGCAGGGTCTCCTTGAGAGGCTGTCTGCATTGCTGTGCAGCCGGCGAGGCCGATGAACAATCTCAAAGTTGTATTCACCCAGTCTCTCCAACCACCTGGCAAGCTGTCCCTCAGGCTCTTTCATCCGTGTTAGCCAGCGAAGGCTGCTGTGGTCAGTGCGCACTGTGAAGGGCCGGCCCAGGAGGTACTGCCTGAAGTGTGATGTAAACTCCACCACAGCCAGCAGTTCACGTCGTGTAGTGCAGTAATTCTGCTCAGTTTTGGATAGTTTGCGACTCCCATAGGCCAGCACGCGCTCTCTGCCCTGCTGAACCTGAGAGAGGACAGAGCCAATGCCCACATTGCTGGCATCTGTGTCCAGTATCATGGTGCTTTGGTCGAGTGGATAACCCAAAACTGGTGCTGTGGTTAGCAGACGCTTGAGCTCGTTGAATGATTCCTGGCATTCTTCACTCCAGTGAAAACGGGCATACTTCTTTGTCAGGGCGTGGAGAGGCTCAGCCACGGAGGCAAAGTCTTTAACGAACCGCCTGTAGTATGATGCAAGGCCGATGAACTGGCAGACTTCTTGGACTGATGTAGGTGCCGGCCACTCCTGCATCTTCTGAACTTTGCTGGGGTCAGTAGCCACACCATCCTCAGAGACAATGTGGCCCAGGTAGGCCACCTGGCGGCGAAAGAGACAGCATTTTGCAGGCTTGAGTTTCAGGTTAGCCTGTTGGAGGCGGTCGAAAACCTGGCTCAGTCGTTGCAGCATCTCTGGCATATCTCTGCCCAGCACGATGATGTCGTCCAGGTAGACGAGGCAGGTCTCCCACTGCATGCCGGTCAACATGCGGTCCATCAAGCGCTGAAAGGTCGCGGGGGCGTTGCACAATCCGAAGGGAATGACATTCCACTCAAACAGTCCATTTCTTGTGCAGAAGGCAGATGCTTTGCGTGCTCTAGGGGTCAGCTCGACCTGCCAATAGCTGGAGGCGAGGTCCAGCGTGCTGAACCATTTGGCATTGGAGAGGGTGTCTAGTGTGTCTAGGATGTGGGGCAGTGGATACGCATCTTTAATAGTGCTGTCATTTAGGGCTCTATAGTCTATGCAAAGGCGGTAGGTGCCGTCCTTTTTGCGCACCATAACTATAGGTGACGCCCAGCTGCTGTTACTGCGGCGGGCCAGTCCTACCTCCAGGTTCTGTTGTATCTGCTGATTGGCACTTTCTTGCTTCTCTGAGGCCATACGGCGTGGCGTTTGCTTGACTGGGGCACCTGGCCTGGTTAGGATGTCATGCTGCACCAGGCTAGTGCGGCCGAGGTCATCAGGGCCAGTACACACTGCCATATGTGTGCAGTAACTTTGTAAGCTGGGGCTGCTCTTCAGCTTTCAGCTCAGTAGAGCTCTGGGCGTAGAGCTTCAATGATTTATTGATAACATCTAGATACATTTGCTGTCTAAAAGAATGCCTCTAGAAAGTGTTAGAATAATGTATGACTCTGTGTTGCTACCTTTCTAGTACTGCAGTTATTTCAGCTTTATGTATTTCTTCCTTTTCCTTTCTTTTAGGGTTGGTGTGATTTCTCATATCCCTGCAGGCAGGTCTTTAAAAATGACTTTGACCAAACTTGTAGAGGGACGATACGTGACGGTGGTTGTACCTGGTTCAGGGAAATACGTTATACTCTGTGAGGTGGAAGTGTACGGGTACCGTGCTCCAACTGGTGAGAATTTAAAACAAAGCCACTTAATACTTTATTATCGGAGTGATAAATCCTCATCTATCCATCTATCTATCCTCATCTGTCTATACAGCTGCAATCACACCAGAGTTAAAACTCCATTAACTTGAATTAACAACAAAGGCTAAATGTAAAGCATCATGAAAACTAATTGTCAATGCTGATGTTTGCAAATGTGTTCTGTTTGCAGGAGAGAACCTGGCACTCCAAGGAAAAGCCTCACAGTGATCACAACATTCAACGGGCAGTGCTTATAATGCCATTGATGGAAATCGTGCCAGCGACTGGGCAAAGGGTTCTTGTGCACACACAGAAAAGGAATTGGACCCATGGTGGAGACTGGACCTGGGCAAAACCCATAAAATATTTTCTGTTAAGATAACCAACTACAAAAATGCTCCTTTGCATATGAATGGAGCAGAGATAAGAATTGGAGATTCTCTTGATAACAATGGCAACAACAATCCAAGGTACAGTCCATTAACTTTATTATTACTGTAGCTCTTGTTATAATGAATATCATTATATTTGTAACCACTGTGCAGGAACTTGAAATGATGTGTGTCTTTAGAGAATCCATGTATTTAAATTGTCATTAACTATTTTCTTCTTCTGCTAGGTGTGCTGTGATCTCAAGCATCCCTGGAGGTTTCACGGAGACCTTCCAGTGTAACGGGATGGACGGTCGCTACGTCACCATCGTTAATCCTGCAAAAACCGGGTACATTGCACTCTGTGAGGTGGAGGTGTACGGCTCCAGAATGGATTAGGTCTGAATAGGTTCAAAACGTGTATCAATGACCTTTGATACAGCTGATGCTCTTGTACAGACTTGTGTTGCAATGAAAGCTTAAGCTTCACTTGCTAGCTGCAGATGGATGGGAGTTCGAGCTTTGTATACCTGAGCCACTCCAACACAAAAAGTAATGTGACCTGCCAATCAACATGAACTATAACAGGATCAGGTTTTAACCATTCTGCTTTTTTATCGTGCATTTCAACTGTCTCATTCATCAATCAAGCAATCAAGTCACACCCTAAAGGGGACATTCAACACAATCATGTAACAATTCATTAAGATCATTCAGTTTCACTGAGTCATGTCAGTAATCAGTGTGAAAAATTAACAACTTTTTAAATGCTTTTATATTTGATTTGTATGTGTGTTTAATATGTATCTTGCTAAATATGAGGAACAATAAAGGGTTAATGTTTTTCACTCTACTTTTTAATGTGTATTTCAACTGTCTAATTTATACAACATGTGGCATTGCGTGGAAAATAAATCAAGGGACATTATAATCAACATTGCATTAAGGTCAATCGTTTCCAATTATTAATGGCCATCATTATCAGTGAACAGAAATCTAAATATTTCTTTATGCTCTTATATTTGTATTGTTCGTGTGTATAATGCGTAATGCGTTTTTCTTATTAGAATTAATGAACTATAACTACATTATGTTGGAAATGTTGTGTAACAGAATGAAAATAACTGATCATTGAATAACATTTGACTAAATTAGTAAAAAGCGTCAGTTATGTTAGCAAAATCTGGAGGGTGTGGCTCAGTGGAGTAGTGCATTGATCCTCGGATCAGGGGAGCACTGGTTCAATCCCACTGCAGCCAGCATGTCGTTGTGTCCCTAAGACGCTTCACCCCAAATTACTCCTGTGGGGACTGCCCATAGTACTGAATGCATGTAAGTCGCTTTGGATAAAACGTCTAACAAGTGACATGTAATGTAATCGGATAATTTGCACTTAAAATAAACTGTGTGCACACCCTGAAACACATATTTCTCCATGAATGTATACCAAAGCCAAGCTGTATCCTTCAAGTTGCAAAGTGCATCTTCAATGCAGTTTCAACTGTTTCATTTATAGAAAATGTGGCATTGCATGTAAGAGTGACCAAGTCAGTTAGTTGGCATAGATCTCATGTTAAATCAGCCAATACATTAAGGTCAATACGTTTTCTTATTATATTCATCCATGCCAATCAATGTGCACATAAGTCCATCACATTTTGATCGCTTCTCTAGTTGTTGTTTCTTACACCTTTTCAGCCGCAATATTATATTCCTGAGAATGCAAAGTACACACATCATCTAATCAAACCAGGAAGTTGTGACTTAAATGATCCACTTGGCAGTGTGTGGCATCTTTGTTTATCTGACCAGGAAGTACAACCAGTTTTATCTGGGAATTTACAGTAAACCGCGAGCTCACAACAAAAACAAGAGACATTATATGAGTCTGTTAAGCAATGTCTGGATTGAACTTTTGCACGGCTCTCTTGCTTTTGCTGATACTAGACTCTTCCTCCAGATGTTTCCCTGTCACCTGTCTGTTTAAGGCCAGCAGGTGGAGCTGTTTCACACAATATCCTCTTTTTTAAAGTGTACAGCACCATCTTCATCTTCAAACAAAGATCACTAGAGATTGTTTTTAGTGAGGCATGCAAAGAGGTGTAGGCTTATTGAGAAAGAGGATTATTCAGGTCTATAAACAGGTGATTGTATTCATGCTTACCTTTTGTATTCTGACACAATACTGCCTGGGCAGGGAGAAAAAGAAGCTGGACACAATAGTACACAAAGCATACAAAATTATTCATACTTAGCTCTCATTTCTCTCAGAAATGTTGGGCAGATAATTGTATTTAAGCATCAGGTTAATCACTTAAGGATTTAGCTCTATAGTTGACTTAGTACACTTTCTCAATTAGCTGCCATATTATATTATTTATGTTGATTATTTGACTAGTGTTGACCTGTGCCCTGTTTTATAACTGGATGCTTTTATATTTGAATGAGAAGTATATGTTGACTTAGCAATAAAGGATTTCATTTCTTAATCCAAATGAGCTTTATCTGCCCACAAGGACAAGATAATCTGTGGGTAAATCATCAATGAATAACAACATGTACCATGATATGATGTGCACATAAATATCACTGTGTGCTCCACATTAAATCATATCCATCGGCTCTGCCTCGTCTTCCTCAGAGTTTATTTTGCAAGTCAAGGTAAGTTGTTTTAGTTGAATAATGATGCTTTTAAAAATCGGGCGGTCAACTTTAACGCGTTTGCATTACTGAGTTTGAACACGTTTTTTAACTTGAATTACCTTGCATTGAAGAGGCAACAAAGCTGTCCAGTTTCCCTGCAGTTGCACAGGAGGAGGATATTGCTCGCAACATGATAGCAGCAGCAAGAATACGACCATACGAGCAAATGTGTAGCGCACATACAGAGGGCAATCCCAGCGGCTTTGTTTAGGCTTTAGCTATGTGTGGGAACATTTCCAGACATCATGACCTGAAAACACTGAAACGTTGACTTGAATTAAATGTATTGTGTCAACTAATTTCACATTGCTGTATTAGGTTAGTTGAAAGCAATAATATTAAGTTGAACCTGATGTTTTTTTATCTAAACTTGATATTATTGCTTTAACCCTAATACAGCTATGTGAGATCTGTTTACATAATACATTTAATTAAAGTCAACGTTTCAGTTTTATCAGTGTGCGAATAATTCAATAATCTTTCAAACTAAGCTAAAATGTTATAATAAAGTTAAAAAAACCTCTGATTTCTCTTACTCGTTTGTTATGCATTTCTTTACTACAACACCACCTGGCATTTTTCGCATATATGTATATTATCTCTCCCCAGAAGACAAGGAAATACTAGCATTTATTTAGTTGTGATTAATCAGATTAATCAGATTATTATTGTGATATTGTGAATTAATTGACAGCACTATTTTAGATATACAGTTCTGAGGGTTGTTTATATGCTACATATAATAATCCCATTCATCACCAGTTATTCCTATACTTATAGTTAACTTCTGGAACATGACTGTTGTAGGTCTGAGATGAATTGCATAAAGTAATAATGATGACAATGTTCATTTCTTCAGGAGTTGACTCTATCGTGTGTCTCATCAAGAGCAATGACGCACAGTTCAGTTCTGCCTCTGCTGCTCCTGCTGGGCACGTGTTCGGCTTACACCTACCGTAAGTAGCATCTGGCTTTATCTATGGTGTCTTTGTTATAAAACACTGAAGTGGTTAACATGTGTTTTGCAATTTGTGACACCACTTGGATGTTAAGGCAGAATGATGTGTGTGCAGAGTTTGACACTAGAAGGCTGTTTTTACAATCAGAAAAGAACCTCAGATTGTAAATCCTGCTAGTCTGAGATGATTTTGCGACATCACAACTACTTTGGAGACAAACATGGTGCAGTATGCCTACTAATGTGATAAGGAAACCTGAAGTCTCCAGAGGAAATATACAGCAGATAACTGACCCCTTTGTATATAAGGTCATTGTTTGAAAAAGAAAATGCAAGTTTGTAGATTACAGATTTTTCATGGAAGCTTAAAGAAATATTATTGTTGAAAAGCTCTATCAGACAACAATTGACCAATCAAAACGTGTGTGTGTTGTGGATTTTTTCACAACATAGTGTCAATAAAATATCCAGTGCTGTTGAATGGGATGCTATTTATGTGTAAATGAGTGACTGATTACAAACAACTTTACCCAATGAACTCAAAATGAGTTGATATGTCAATGTTGTGTTCACAATGTGTGTTGGCTGCCCTCAAGTGGCCAACATTTTTTTTTCAGGTTCATTGATAACATTTTTTTTTCCATCCATCAAATATTTATTTATTTCAAATGTCTCATTCCCAGAAAATGTGGCCTTGCGTGGAAAAGCTAGCCAGTCAGGGCGTTATCCAGACCATTATGGAGATGCAGACAAAGCTATTGATGGAAGCCGTGAATCTAACTATCTTGCTGGTTCATGCACCGGTTGGCAGACCAACCCCTGGTGGAGGGTGGACCTGCTGGAGTCCTACATCATCACCTCCATCATCATCACCAACAGAGGAGACTGCTGTGCTGAAAGGCTCAACGGGGCAGAGGTTCACATCGGCAACTCTTTGCAAGACAATGGTGCCGCAAACCCAGTGTGAGTGATCTTAAAGACTTCATAGCCTATATAGTAGAGGACTATATAATCACCAAAGATGTATAAATTAACATGTGACGTTTGATGTTTGAAATACTGCTTTCTTCTGGTAGGTTATGTGTAATTTATTCTTTTATACGTTTATACTTTTAAAGTACTGGAGTTTTAAAATAATGTTCTCCGATGATTCCTCTTTCTCTTCTTCAGGGCTGCTGTAATTCCTCACATCCCAGTTGGCAGGTCTTTAAAAGTCACTTTTACCGGACTTGTGGAGGGACATTTTGTGACTGTGGTTCTACTGGGTTTAAAAAGGATCCTTACACTCTGCGAAGTGGAAGTCTACGGGTTCCGTGCCCCAACTGGTGAGAGTTGAATATATTTGGATGAAGTCACACATGGTTTGATTTTCGAGTTGATGCCTCTGCCTCTTTTTATATAAAGCTCACCAGAGTTTGAACTGCTTTCATTTGAAAAACCTCAGGCACTTCCTGTCACTACAGTAATGAAGATAATCTCTCTTTTATTAGATTAGTTAATTGTGAGAAGAACAGTTCTCAACAGTCTCCTAGACTCTGGATAGTTGAAGAAAACAATTTATACATTTACACTAGTAGCTGATGGTGCATCCCTCCAGTTTTGCAATGCTGATCTAAATAAAAAACATGCATCCTCACAACTTTCACTGCAGTTAGGAGAATTAACAAATACTTGTGGAATCCACTTTCAAGACATAACATAACCAACTTCATAGATGTTAACTTACAAACATAACTCTTTCATTTTTTGTAAAGCACTTTGAATTGCCTTGTGTTGAAAGGTGCTATATAAATAAACTTGCCTTGCCTTGCCTTGCCTTACAACTTGTTGGAGCTGAGATTCGAATTGGAGATACTCTTGAGAACAATGGCAACAGCAATCCCAGGTACTTTAATGTCCATTAACTAAACATTTGTACAGTTATAGAGAATTATCATTGGGCATGTTTGAAACAACTAATTATGCGAAATACAAAATAATAATCAAAGAACATAGGTTAGGCATAACATAGCAGTATCTTACATTTCTCACAATAGAAATAAGAGATCTTTCTTAGAGTGTATTTATTTAACTGATTTTTGATGTGTTAAAGTATGTTCTTCTTCTCCAAGGTGTGCTGTGATCTCAAGAATTCCTCCAGGTTTCACTGAAAGCTTTCAGTGTAACGGGATGGACGGTCGCTACCTTAACATCGTCATTCCTAGAAAAACCGATTACCTGGCCCTGAGTGAAGTGGAGGTGTACGGCTCCAGGCTGGATTAGGTGAATACAGTTACATCTCAGTTTCAGCCAAACACTCAACATTATAACTTTGATGAAGGTAAGATTTACTGCAGGGCTGTTGTACTAGGCTGCATTTTGAATACAGTGTACCAAACAAAGTGTATCTGGCTCTTTGGAGGCACCAGACTTTGATGTTATGTAAGAAGGTACAAAATAATATCAGAATGATTCTAATAACAACATCCAATTACCAAAGATAAAACTATTTTTCTTGCCAATTACAGGGCTTACACCGACATTAGCTCAATCTGTAGGCACTTCCAGTTCAAGTCTGTCAAAGGACGAAGTACGGAGTGTTCTGGTTCTCAAACAGGCGGGCGGTGCCCATGAGAAAGCCATCGGACCCCCATGCTGATCCCCAATGCGCTATAAAGCTTCCCAATGCTTCTAGTACTGGTATGGGTAATATGCAAATGAATTATGTTGTGAATGTTTATGTATACACTTTATACTTTTGTATTTGTACTGATCATACTGTGTTTTGTAAAGCTATTGCTGAATTGTTTTTGAATAAGTTCAAGATCTATAAAACTGAGCTTTTGTACTGTCAATGCCTGCATGTTAATATTAAGAACAGTTCTCAACAGTCACCTGGACTCTGGATAGTTGAAGAAAATACAATTTACATATGTACAACTTGTATTATATGATGTCATTTTTGCTGAAATAAATTGAAAGGATAAAAAAAACGTTTTTCTTTAACCTGTTAAGCCCTGAGCCTGTTTTTCAGGTCTCAGGCTCGAAAATGACATTCAAGGTTCAAGGTTCTTTATTGTCAAACTGACATAGCTACAGAGTAATTATGTTGTTGAAAATCTTATGTCACAGGCTTCTCCAACAATGCAACATAATAACAATACAGATAGCAAGAGCAATACAAAAAGAAAAATAGTTATAAAATAAAGTGAGCATGTGGAATTGTGCAGTACGAGTCTATATACAAGTTATTGGAATGATATATATTAGATATTAGATACATATTACTGAGTAGCAGATGAATGTTTTGAAATTGTTTCAGCAGTTCAATTGTTTAACAGTCTCACTGCCCGCGGGAAGCAACTGTCTCCGAATCTTCTTGTCTTTGCCAGGATGCTGCGGTAACGTCTGCCAGACGGCAACAGAAAGAACAGTTTGTGGCTGGGGTGATGGGGGTCTTTGATAATCCGTAGTGATTTCTTCCTGAGCCGCTGGGAGTAAAGGTCCTCCATGGATGGCAGCTCCGTCCTGGTGATGTGCTGTGCAGTTTTCACCACCCTCTGTAAAGCCTTATGATTGAGGTCGGTGCAGCTGCCGTACCAGGCCGTGATTCCCAGAACAAATGACCATATCTTCCCTTCTAAAAGTGTTAAATTAATAATCTTTTTTCTCAAAGTAATGATAAACCTGTGAGTTGGATGTAGAAAAGTCAGAATCAATATAGATGTTTTTTATTTTAAAGAAAATTCAGATTGAACATAGTAAAAAACTGTAAATTATAGTGTCCGTCCAAAGATTCTTTTTTACTTATAGTGAAAACTACCCTTGGATGATGGTAAGGTAGACTAAAAGCTTTAGGAATCCAAAGTACAACATATAATAAGTACCCTGTATCAAGATTGATGCAAAACAAGTGACATTTGACATTTTTAGAGAGGTTTAGCCAAAACCACCCCACCTCTGAGGTGATTTGGGTGAAAATGTTTTTTTTTTCATATCTCTGGCCCCCCTTGCTCAATTTTCATGGTTGACACCTCTTTCTGACCGTTAGAGCCAATAGAATCGAAGGGGGAGGCTCCCACACACAGATGTTGTGAAGAGAAAAGGTGGGGGCTGTGCGCATGTAAATGTAGGGCAGAGTGGAGCTGCATTCTAGCTCTGGCATTTGGAAACAAAAAAGCAGTTTTATTGCTTATGGATTATCAGAAATAATTTCAAAGAGGGCACAGATACATTGGATGAACCTATGGATTAACTGCAGCATCGTTTTTTTATCGTTTTAATGCCATTGAAGACCAGTTTTGACCAAAGTAAGCCATGTTAGCGTTTCTAGCTACTTAGCTCCACATTTTATGATGTACGCTTTCGTTTATAGCGTCGCAAATGTTTATCACTGAGTGTTGAGGTTTTTTACACAGATTCAGTGTCTCCAGGACACCAAAAAGGAGTGGTTGGCTGTGCATCTAGGATAAGCAATAAGGGAGTTATTGTGAGTTTAAGTGCCGTTTTAGGTTAAATCTTTTCGCTCGTGGCTAATTCAGAGGCTGAGTGCTAGCATTGTGGTTTTTTTTTTAATTTCTTTTTTGAAAAAGATCAGTTAGCTGAGTTTCATCCCATTACATGGATATAAAACATTCATAGTTTTATTAAATATTAAGATTCCTTAGACGTTGTTTCCTGCAAATGACGCGTTTATCCGCCCGGTTCCGGGGGGGCCGTGCGTAACAGGTTAAATGTTAAGATGCCCTCAGACACTGTTTCCTGCAAGATGTTTTACGGGAGGGCCCCGGTACCGAGGTCTCTCGGGCTTAACATGTTAACCTGTATGCATTAATTTCTCATAGGACAGTTATATTAATGTGTTAAATGTTAACATTATTATCACCTGGTTTAAAGGTGCTTGAAACTCACACAGACGCATAGTCCAGTAAATGGAAAGTTTTATTCTTGCAACATGTAAGTAATCAAATCAAATCAAATCAGGTTTTATTTATATAACACATTTAAAAGCGATTTTTGGTCGAGCCAAAGTGCTGTACATGTAATAAAAACACATTACTACAATCACAATAAACGACAATAAATTACAACAGATATATATAAAAAACAAAATAAAAATAAAAACACAAGGAAAAGTCAGGAGTCGTGCTCCGCTCTAACTAGAAAGCCAGAGAGAAGAAGTGTGTTTTTAGTGTAGATTTAAAAACCCCTAGGGTCTGGGCCGACCTCACATGGAGGGGCAGAGTGTTCCAGAGCCTAGGGCCAGCTGCTGCGAAGGCTCGGTGCCCTCGGGTTTTAAGCCTGGTCTTGGGCACTACCAGCAGCAGCTGGTCAGCAGACCTTAAAGCTCTGGCTGGGGTGTAGCGCTGGAGGAGTTCAGCTATATAGGCCGGAGCCAGCCCATTTAGTGCTTTAAAAACAAATAAAAGGATTTTAAAATCAATTCTGAACCGAACTGGAAGCCAGTGTAGTGAGGCCAGAATAGGGGTGATGTGGTCACGCTTTTTGTGGCCAGTCAGCAAACGTGCAGCTGCGTTTTGGACTAGCTGCAGGCGTTTAATTGAGGCCTGGTCCATACCCACATACAAAGCGTTGCAATAGTCCAGTCTCGAGGTTACAAAGGCGTTAATAACCCTTTCTAAGTCATTAAAAGATAAATACGACTTGGTTTTGGCCAATAGTCTTATTTTAAAAAAGCAGGATTTGACTACGGTGCTGACCTGCTTGTCGAATTTAAAAGTGCTAGTGAAGGTCACTCCAAGGTTCATGACCGAGGGGAGGATGTTTTTTTTGAGAGAGCCCAGAATATCAACCGGAGAGGCTGGAGGTTGCGGTCCAAAAAAGATGACCTCAGTCTTGCTCTCGTTGAGGTTGAGAAAGTTTTTGCTCAGCCAGGATTTTATCTCTGTTAAGCAGTCCATCAACTGCTGTAGCGAGTGTTTGACATTTGCTTTGAGAGGCAGATAGATCTGTACATCGTCGGCGTAGCAGTGGAAGGGAATATTATGTTTTTTGAGAATTGAACCTAGGGGCAGTATGTACAGTAGAAAAAGGATGGGGCCCAGAATCGAGCCTTGGGGAACCCCACAGGTAAGAGGGGCTTTGGCAGAGGAGAAGGCACCTAGCTGTACCGAGAAGCTACGGTCTGTCAGGTAGGACCTGAACCATGCAAGGGCAGAGCCTGTGATGCCAGCGGACTGTTCAAGCCGTGACAGCAGGATGCTATGGTCCACAGTGTCAAAGGCAGCTGTCAGGTCTAACAGCACCAAGACAGCTGGGCTACCAGAGTCGGCGGCTAGGAGCAGATCATTAAAAACGCTTAAAAGGGCTGTTTCAGTGCTGTGCATGGGTTTAAAG